TTAAAGCTGAATTGAATGGTGGTAAGTTTTTTAAAATCCAATGTGTGGATCACATAATATTTCAAAAATTTTAACTTGAGTATAGATGATCCGCATTGTACCAACATGGTGAAATTTTTTATGCGTGTAACGTAATTTTAAAGTAAAAAACTTTATAACTTTACAGATATATTTTTTAACACTTTTTAACTTAATTCCAGCTGCATCCGTTGGCATCCGCAATTTTGACATACTTTACTTAGTACTAGCATTTCCAATATAGTATTATGTGGCAGATGTGTAATTTGCAATGAAATTAGTGTAGGCTCCAAAGTATAGAAAAGCAAGTAAAAATAAAGCAGAACTTACAATCGCACAATTCATTAATAATTCATTAAATCTAAATAATAAATATAACTAATTAATGATAATGCTATAGATTCGAATCAGTTCGAATCAGTTCGAATTTCATTGATTCGTCCGGAGCCTTAATTCACGGAACTTGTTGTTACAATTTAGTATATATAAATAAATTGGAAGCAATTATATTATTGTATTAGTATAAACATTAAATAAATAAATAATCACCGTTGAAACTTGGATACGATCCCACAGATATAAATTATATATACATTAATAATATATATAATTCAAAAATACATATCATATACATATATTTTAATATTTTTTTTGTTTGAAAATGGTGACAGAAAATTGATAAACGCTTTAGCACAGTCTCTTTACATAAAGTTTGATTGTATGCATAATAATAAACCGATTCAACCAGCTTTATTAAGTTCGGTTCCCGAAATAAACCGATTTATTGAATATGAAAAATAGAAAATGGTTTTATTATTATGTTGTAACTGGTTTTAAATCGATTGTACCTAAACCGGTTCCAACCTCTACTTGTAGATACTTGACGCTAACAAAAACTTTGACATTAACCAAGTTAAAACTTATCTTCAAACTTTGATCCGTGAAACCGTTAAATTGTTTCATACTTCCTAAAAAAATTAATATTTTGAGTTTGTTAAAAAAAAAGTGCCTGTGAATTAAAAAATTGCCTTTTCAAGATTTTTAGTTTACACATCTAAGGAATACTACAGTTAAATTCATATGAATTTTGTTATAAATTTGCGCTAAATGTTTAACGTTTTAATTATCTATTTTTTTTACTTTAACAATTACTTTAATTAACAAAGAAAATAATGACTTCCAGAATTGACTCTGTTATTTGCATAATGAAATTCCAAAATATGTCTTTTTTTTGTAACTGCCGTAGAAATTTATAGCTAGACCGACATTTAGAAACGCGGAAATTAATTTTCATCTCGTTATTTTTTATCCAAAGGATGACACCACAGCAACAAATTTGCAACAACTTGCCATACAGGACATGGTAAAAATAAATGGAAAATTTACAATTATTGAAAATGAGGAGGGTTTATTGATTTCGACTTTGACACAATGTAAATATTAATATATATAAATTTGATTAAATAAATTTAGATTCGTTTAAAAGTTTATCAAATTACCTTGATAAATAAAAAAAAATAGAGACAATTTTCTGTAAAGCTAATTCATATCTTTTTTTTAAAATTTTGCTAAATTTTTGTCTCTGAAATTTTAGAACGGAATTTTTAATAATAACCTTGACACAAAAATATACATATATAATAATCATACAAAAAATTACACTAGTTTGTAATAAAATTTCTGGAGATTATATATATAAACTTCCATACTTCCAGATATTCTAGAATTTTGTCAATTGGAATAAAAGAAATTTGATTATTTTGAAAAAAAATTCAATGTGTAAATTTCCTTAATAATTGCTCTAAAGCCTACAATATGCTTCAAAAATTTTGTATATTATAATCTAAGATCCTCCGATTCTCTGGTATAATTTTCATTATATAATTTTGGCTACTTTTTCATTAAAAACAATATTTTACAAACCGTCATTTTTTCTTAACACCCTGTAATTAAACATTGATTAAATCTTTAAATTTTTTACATTGAGAAAATATTAATTAAATATTGATTGAATCTTTAAATTTACACTGGGAAAATATTGATTACATATTGTCTAAATTTATAAATACTTAGTTAATTTATGATGAAATTTAGATCAAATGAGACATTTTATCAAAAATTTTACGATAGTTTATTATGGGTAAATCTTAAAATTTTATTCTAGTATATGACCATTGTTAAATTTAATTTTTTTGCCCGCGACTTTTTCTAGCAAGAAATTTAGAATTTTCAAATAATAAATTTACAATGGTACATGTCACCCAGCTATCATATATTGAACAAAGCACTCAAACATCTAACTATTCGGAGTCAAGCTGGGCTTAATCTAAAAATACATCAACTAAAAAAAGTCCAGCTCCCTTGGTTGATGAGATAGCATAAGTTCTAATGGTAACAATAACAAGAGTAAATGCCCACCTAAAAAATATAAAAAATCAAACATTCCTTCTTGACAAAAAAAATTCCATGATAATAAGTTTAGCTATTTATGGAGTACTTTTTTTGGACGATCTATACCAAGCAACATTTGTTCCTATTATAGAGCTTCTTGCATTGAATAATTAAATATATATTTGTGTGTATTATTCACTAAAATTTCCCTGACCAGGAGAGACTTCAATGTGATCTTTTTGATATTGAAATGTTGCATAAATTGACTGGTGGTGATGTAGATAGAATGTAAGTTTTTGAAAAGGTCGATACATCAACGATAGCAATGACAGTTGTTGAATAACTTTATAGTGAAGCCCCACTTAAATGAAATGCATAATGGATTGATACACTCAATGGCACCACGTATTTTATTTTGCCATTGATAATTCTACAGAATTGTACAAGCCTAGTCTGTTGGAAATACCATATACATGTTTATGATAAAAAATATTCATTAGGGAAGTATTGCTTCACGAGCTCATTAATACTTCACATTGTGCAATAAAAATATTAAATAACGAATTCTAAATATTCAAATTCAAATTCAAACTTAATCAATAATTTATTTATATAAATATAAAATAACAAATTCTATAATATACTAAAGCATATATTTATGTATAAAAAAAAACAATCTTAACAACAGCAATAATAAACAAAATTATATATATTTGGGTCGGAAGTTAGTTAATAAAGAAGTAATTCAATACAAATGAAGTTTGTTTACTGAGTGTTAATGGGGCAAGCCCATCATCAATCAGATGAAACAACAACAAACAACAATGTATTGCACTATAGGTAATAGGAAATATCAAAGAAATCGTAATACATAAAATTGCAATATTTATCTGTTTTTCTCTATATGTTCTTATATAATATAATAAAAAAACAAAAATAAATAAAGTAGCCAACTAAACATAAAGTACAATTAATAGTCCGTTAATAAGTCCTCTCAATGAAGTAGAAGCATTCAAGCAGATTTTGACAAGGCACTGCTAATACAATCAAGATCAGAGCTATTTTCCACATACATTCTACAAGGAATATGACTTTCTTCAGTTTCCTTGGATGCTTCACTAATATCTTCCATTGTATTAACCAACTTTCTTATTGATTTAAAGAGTTCTTCAAATGATGGTTCCTTATCATAATCTTTAGGTGGGTTATCATACTCCAAGTCAATACTATTATTGTCCGACCTTCCTTTTTTATTTAAATTTTCATGTGAATCAAAAGATTTATTTTCTTGTTTTTCTTGTTCTTTTTCAAGCTTATGTTTCTTGTTTGTAAGAGCATCAAGTTTTCTAATTACATCATTACAAGAAACGACTAATTTTTCTGTTTTAATAATCATAAGTGTACTATCATTTGATTGGTTGTTATTATTGTTTTTGTTATTGTTTTTACTACCACTACAGCTATTATTATCTATTATTGATGCACTATTAACTCGAGCAACTGATGAAGAAGGTGTCACTAATGATGTAGAAGCATTAAGTCTTAATTGTTTGATGCTTGGTTGAGATATTGTCAATGGTTGAGTTTGTTGGTGTATGGAAACATTATTATTATTTGTTGATTGCTGTTGAGGTTGTTGTGCAACTGTTCTTTGATTGACCTGTCTTTGTGCGTGTATTGGTAAATTAGGAGGAGTAGGAGCTATAATTGAACGAGAATTTAATTGAATATTTAAGGTTAGTCTGACATATGATGCAGTATGATTACGAGCAACATCAACAAGTGTATTTGTAAAATTCATAGTATTTTGGTTATTATTATTCGGAGAATGAATGTATGATAGTGGGTCTTTGTATCAGTTGTTGTGGTAGTTGTTGTTGCGGTAGTTGTTGTTGAGATTGGGCCATTTGATTTAATTATTGTTGAGTTATAGGATTATTCATTGTTTGAGGGGAAAATGATGATGCTAGTATGAGTTTTTATTGTTGGCACTTGTTCTTGCATATATATATATATCCTCCAAAATAATGAAATTTTTAAACCTTTATGTTTATAACTTTTGATAGAAAGTTTAAGTAAACAATCCGGCTGTAACGAATTATTTCTTGACTTCTAAACAGCGTATAACTACAATAAAATTCAGTGTGCGAAATGTGCGGTGCTAACCGAATTTAATAATTATTTGGAAAAGTTCAACCGTAATTACCAAATTTGGTTAGAATGACACATTCTGTGCACTGAATGTCTGTTTTTCGGCGAAGCAAAAAGGAAAATTTATTACCTGTCTTATTTTTTCTTCCCCTTTTTTTCGAATCCCAATTTTTATTGCAGTGGCTCTTATTTTTAACACATCTTTTGCAAGGAATTTCTTCGCTGCACTTTTGTTTCGCTTTTTTACATTCCAAACAGCTTTTGTTTACATAACGATCTTTTCCCATTACATCACTGGTTTTTTATGTAAAGTAGACGATATATATTTTCAAGTGTATATGAGAAAAAAAAAATATTATTTTTTGTGTGCGCAAAAGAAATAAAAAAAATTTTTTTTTGCTAAATAGGTAGACCCTTGCTCTTTTATAATTAATTGTTCCATGACGGAATTTTTTCAATTGGATACTTGAATATTCCAACGTTCACTCTGCGCAAGTTTATATGTCAAGAGAATCTCATTTAAATGCAATGGTGTGATTAAGATATAAAAGGCATCCTTACAATCAATTATTCCATGAAAAGAGTCACAATAATACTTTTTTATGTTACAATATATTATTGTTCAATCATTCATCATTTCGCGGATTTTTGAACCAAGATCAACTATCCTTTTTGTTAATCATGTCGGACAACAATTAATCGAAACAAAAATATAAAATCAATTTTGGGAATTTTTGGCAGGACTTTTTTCCAGCCAAGAAAAAGTAATCGAGAACTGACCCAAAGTAGCAATCATCTTTACCATTTTTGGTCTATCGCATTGGGGCATCACCATTTTTGGTCTATTGCATACACATCTAAACTCGATTAGTCGGACTTTTATTTATATTATAAAGTACTTTAAACAATTGATTGCTACGTCCGGCTTATCGAGTTTAGACGTGTATCATCATTTTTGGTCTATTGCATATCCACCAGTTTGTGCAACATTTTGGGGTACGAAATCTTGAAACAAAAATATGGGGATCATATTTTTTAAAATTTTTAAAAATTCCAATTTTACGTTGTAAAAAAAATTCCTGACAAATCCACCATTATTTTATTGACATAAAAGGTATTACGATTTTGTTTTGATTTGTAAAAAAAATTTGCATCTTTGAACACTTTATCATGATTGAAATTGAATGATGTATTTACAACTCGTTATACAGAATTAGAAGATTCACCACAATTTTGGAATAAAGACATTCATGTTGAAAAAAAAAATCATTTACAAATAAGCGGAAAGGGCAGTAATTGAAATTTTAAACTCTATATTATAATTATAACTAAATTAGTAAAATATTAAAATAATTATAAATATATAAAATAATAATAGTTATATTAATTTCAATTAAACATTAAATATAATAAATAATAAAAAAACATTAATAAATAAATAAAAGTATTACTTCCTTTTAGGGTTGTTAGATGGAGCATAATGTTCTGGCATCAACCTGGGTCATGTATACTCCATCTTAAGATCTCTAAATTTTTTGTACTAACCTGGAGCAAAATATTTTATTATAACCCGGGTTACTATATAATTTTGCTCCAAATTATTTTAGTAATTTGACTACATGTATTTGAAAATATTGTTAATTTTGATTTCTCTGTTCGCAAATTTTATTGTGAATAAAAAACTGAAAATTTATGAAAATTTATATGAAATACTTTCAGATAGTGAGCCTGAACCATCAGGTGAATCATTATTAAATATAAATAGAGATTAGTTTGATTTTTAGTCAAGAAGATAATGAAGGTTTAATTACTACTCCTATACAAGAAAATGAATCTAATTCATCAAACACTTCACGTGAAACTTCTTGGGTTTGGGAATTTTTTTCAAAAGAATATAATGGTAAACAAGAAATTATTACATATATTTGTATGATATGTAAAAATCGGTATAATTTTTTTTTACTTTTATTTAAATGAGAATTATAATTATAATTATTACTCCATGGAGCAACCCATGGAGTATTAACCCAGTACATTTAACCCGGGTTGGGTTAGGTTAACCCTTGCTCCACTATAATATGAACCCAACCCAACACATTATGTTCCATTAACAACCCTACTTCCTTTACCTATTAACAAATCAATAATTATTGATAGACATACTGATTATTGTCATAATATCTAATCACCCATCCAATTTTCACCAAGTAAATTTCTTAATTTCTCATCACCCTCTTCTCCAGTAAATAAACAGATAAAAACGCCTGGCGGTGAATATATTTGAATGTGATCTTCGCTACATGGAATAGTTGATGATTTTTCCCCTAAACCTCTATTGATTTAAGGTAAAATATTTTTTGTATTAAAGATTAAAGATTTTTTAAATTTTAATAAACAATATTCTGAACCATGAAAACATTCCAATTAACACAAATATTCTTTAAACATTCTTTCTACTTCATATTGATTTAAACTATTTGTTTATCTTATCTTCATTTCCTTGGCTATTTTTTAAAAAAAAAATTAGGAAAAGATCAAGACAAAAGATCTTTTTTTTTTAACAATCGAAATTTGTAAAGCTTATTCTTGTAGACTTGAAAAAAAACATCTAATCGATCAAATTGACCTTTTATCCGGGATGTATAAATAAATAAATGAGTAAAAAACCAACCGATTCGCCTCTCGAATGTTTTTTACTCGCTTGCTTTTTGCGCTTTTTACATAGTATTTCTTTAAATTTTGATTATTTGTTCGAGCACAACACCTGCAATGGGACAATAGGAGTGATAACTGAAGTCGTTGGTGATGACAATGTGGAAGTTACGTTATCAACAACTAACAATGTGATGAAAATCAACGTTCAGAAAAGCGTTGCAAATGTTGATATCAATGGCGTACCGGCATCAAAGTGTCCACTTTCGTTGCAGAATGCATTTGCTCTTACAGTGCACAAGACTCAAGGCCTAACACTGCCACATGCAACCTTGACTGTAGACCATAACATGTTTGCACCAAGACAAATCTGTGTGGCGATGAGTCGAGCTTCTTCCTGGAAGTCGTTAAACATTCTATCTTTTGATTTTGACTGCTTAAAAGTGGACGTCAATGTCGTAAATGAGTATAAGAAATTAAATTTCTTAAATCAAAAAGGTTTAAAAGAAATGCACAAGCCTTGAATGAATTCTTTGATGACAAATTTTCTATTTCGCTATATAGCTGATTTTTTTAAATTCAAATTTAATTGATGTTAAATTTTTTTTTAATTTTGGGTTACGAAATTCCGATTGGCTGTAAATGCAGATCATTTAAAAATCGGGTTTTTTTTTTCAATTTTGTTGTTGGTCGAAAAAAAAAAGTACTCTCTGAAACTGATTATAATAATCTGCAACAAAGTATAATGACATGGACTGTATAGGTTACAAAGGTAAGTCACATACACAAAAATACTGCAAAGTTTGCATGCAATATAGCTAATGTGACTTTTTTTGTGAATTTAGATTTTTTCTAATGTTACTCAACTACCAAATTTTTATATTTTATTATGCATGTAAATAACTTTGTAACTTTAGTAAATACTGCAGTTTCTACAAAAGAAATGGTTAATAGATTATACAAAACCATTATTCCTCAAAAAAGTATTGAGCTGGATTTTGTATGTTGTGATAATTGCCTGCAAACCTTATGATTTTTACTAGATGATGAAAGATATGATATAACAGAACAATTTAATTTTAATATGTTATCAAAAGATAAATGTGTGAGCAGGATAAAAACAATTATTTCTATACATGCAGCCCAAAGTATTTCGACGCTGTCATAAAGGGGGTTTACACATGCCGTAATTAATTTCTACTTTCTACCATCAAAATTGGAATAGTTTGACCCCGAAAATCACCAAACCAATTTGGGCTGCATGTATAATTATTTCATATGTACAAATTCAGGCAATTTTCCTTCACATCAATGACCAATTAGAAATACCCTTTCTACTATTAAATTGGTTTATTTCATTAAACACTAGTGATTCAAAATTTAGACTTTGGTGATCAGCTGATCAAAAATGGTGTCGAATTTATATGGTTAAATCATCAACCAAATGTACATCAATGTCAGAAATCAGGCTGCAATAACGGAAAACATGATGAAAACAATTTATATTATGTACATAATATTTTTTATTATACTTTATAATAAATCTTGTAAATAATTGTGTTGTCATTCAAAATAATTACAAAACCCATTAAAAACAATTTTGAAAATGTTGAAATGAAATTATAAACCAACTAGGGCTGTGTTGGTCTTTAAAAGACTGGTCTTGGGACCGTCTTTGAACCAGTCCCTTTGAACCGGTCCCTTTGAACCACGGTCCTAAATTTTAGGACCAGTCTTTATAAGACCAGCTGATCTTTCTTAATAAGGAAATGTTGAACAATAAAAATTTTTGTTTTAAAATTGGAGTGTTTTTTTTTAAGTTTTTTATTTTATTTGTTATTATTATGTTTTATTGAAGGCCATACTTTTGTTAAAAAATTAATTGTTACATTGTTCACTTTTTGAGGCTAATACTAAGGAACTTTAATAATAAAAAATCAATGATAATAATTTAGTATGTAT